ATCAAACCAACAAATCTAAACCAAAATCCACCGAACCTTAACCCCTTTTCCCCCTCTATCCAAAATTCCAAAATCCCCCCCCACCATCAAAAAAAAAAAAAAAAAAAAAAAAAAAAAAAAAAAATCCCTGTCCCCCTTTCCCTTCTTCACCCGACAACCCAGGCAGTTCGGATCACAGAAGGCGCTTGCCAAGCCGCCCCTCGCAATGGCAGCGGCACTGACGAAGGCACAGAAGGAGGGCGAGCGGAGGAGTGGCAGCAGAGCGGGGGGAAGGGGGGGGGCGGAAACGTTCTCGACAGCAGGAGGGACAGAGGATACGCGTGCTTCATGCTTCCACACCTGCGACCTGGCACCCTGGCTACATCCGGGCACTGTGGCACTCTTCTTTTTTTTTTGTGGGGGGGGAGGGAGGGCATGGATTGGGGTGGGGTTGTGGGTGGGGTATGGGTTTCAGGGTTGGGAGGGAGGGGGGGTAGGGGTGAGGAAGGTGGGCCAAAGGGACAAGTGGAAGGAGGGAGGTAGAAAGGGAGGAAATTGGAGGGAGGAGGAGGAGGAAGAAGAAGAAGAAGAAGAAGAAGAAGAAGAAGAAGAAGAAGAAGAAGAAGAAGAAGAAGAAGAAGAAGAAGAAGAAGAAGGAGGAGGAAGAAGGAGAGAGTAGTAGTAGTAGTAGTAGTATAGTAGTAGTAGTAGTAGTAGTAGTAGTAGTAGTAGTTAGTAAGTAGTAGTAGAAGAAGAAAGAAGAAGAAGAAAGAAGAAGAAGAAGAAGAGGAAAAAGAAGGAGAAGGAGAAGGAGAGAGGAGGAAGAGGAGGAGAAGTAGGAGGAGGAGGAGGAATAGTAGAAGGAGGAGAAGAAGAAGGAGGAGGAGCAGAAGAAATAGAAGAAGAAGGCAACGAAAGAGGAAGAGGAAAAGGAAACGGAGGAAGGGATCGAATTCATATATTTGGCCAGTCGATGAAAGACGGAAGGCACAGGATTCGTACCCAAGCGCTGGCACTCCAGAGGGGGGAGGACCCACCCACCCACTGGCACTGTGAGGGCCAAAGGAAGAGAAGGGTGAGAGGTTAAAGAGGGTAAGGAGGGCAGGAAGAGTAAGGAGAGTAGGGAGAGTAAGAATAGGGAGGGTAAGAAAGGTAGGGAGTGTAAGAAAGAGTAAAGAGGCCAGGAAGAATAAGGAGGACAGAAAGAGTAAGGAAGGTAGGGAGAGTAAGGAAGGTAGGGAGAGTAAGGAAGGTAGGGAGAGTAAAGAAGGTAGAGTAAGGAAGGTAGGGAGAGTCAAGGAGGGTGGGGAGAGTAAGAGGGCAGGAGAGTAAGAATAGGGAGGGAAAGGAAGGTTGGGAGAGTAAGGAAGAGTAAGTAGGGCAGGAAGAATAAGAAGGGTAGGGAGAGTAAGACTAGGGAGGGTAAGGAAGGTAGGAAGGGCAGGAGAAGGGTACAGGGCATCACTTAGAACACCTGAGGGGGAGAGGAATGAAAAAAACAAAAAAAAAAAAAAAAAAAAGTGCCACCAAGTTTTCCTGGCTGGCTAAAGAGGCAAGAGGCCGATAATGGGAGAGGCAAGGGAGGTGGCACTTTCTGGCACTTCTCCTAACTAAAACATGGGAGACGGGGACTGGGGAAGTGCCGAGGGAAAGGCACTCTTTTGGAATATCATTTTAACGCGAAGTTGAAGAGGGAGGTTTGCGGTGGAGCGAAAGGGGGAGAGGAGCAAAAGGGAGTTTATTCTTTAATGAGAACAGACCAAAAGAGATTTTTAATATTCTTTATTTTTATATTTTATTTTTTTATTTTTTACTTTTTACTAAAATAATGTTCTTTATCAAGGGTGACTTTGACTTTGATGTACTTTTTTAAGACTAATTTTGGTGGCGCGGGAATGATAGAATTTCTTAGTAGTGTAAAAGGTTCTTATTATACACAATAGAAGCATTTTAAAGGGATTGGGAGAACTTTACAAGTGAAACATTATCCTCTTGTAGCGAAAAATGATATAACAATTTATATAAAAAGATAGAAGGTGAGATACAGAGGAACTGGGAAAGAATAAAAGTAAGAAAACAGATGGATAAAAGCAAGAAAATCATTTTTGAGATGTAATATACGAAAGAAATGGGAAGAGAAAATGAAGGGATAACTGGCGGCTGATAACAGGCGAACAGATAGCACTGTCAGAATTAATTGGGTTTTATGATCACCGCGAACGATGGGTAATGAACAGGTGAAAGAAACAATAGGGCGAGGAGAATTAACACGAGGGGCTGCCACTTTCGAAAATGGCTGCGTGCACGTCGCCGGGGAGAGGCGGGTGCGAATGGAGGAGGGGGAGGCGAGGATGCGATGGAGATGAAGAACGTGGGACGAGAGAGAGGGGAAGTAAGAAAAACGGGAATAAAAAGGGGAATAAAGAAGGTGGCACTAGGAAAAGACGGAAGTGGAAGGCACTGTCATGAGAGGGTCGTCATCAAGGGCATTAGGAGCGGGCCAGGAGTGCCAGAGAGGGCCAACCAAGGGCCGAGTGCCGGCTGCAGGCGTTGCCAGGTCGAGGTCATGCTGGCGACCCCTGGGCGTGTCTCAGGGGTCGGCGAGGCTAGCGAGTCTTACCGCCGGGGTGGTGACGACGGCCTCGGGGTCCGTCGCCTCGGGGGCCGCGGCGTGCAGCGTCGGGGTCACGCCGTTGTTGTCGCCGTTCTGGGGAGCCTTATTGGGAATCTTGCGCACAGAGTTGGTGCCATAACTCACATTGTTCGCCACGGAGTTGCTCTCGGACTGCAGGTCGCCGTTGGTGTGCGGGCCGCTCTGCGAGGCCGCGTCCGAGGAGCCCAGCGAGTCGACGTGCGTCACCTCCGTGCCCTGCGACGAGCGGCCACTTACGTGCGACTGATTGTCAGGGCGAGGGTCGGGGGCCAGGCCGTCCGAGCGGTACGTCTCCACGCGGCCGTTCTGGGGCTTGGTGGCGTCCAGCAGCACCTTCAGCGAGGCGATGGCGTGCAGCTGCGTCGCCTTCTCGTCCACCTTGCCTGCAAAGCGAAACAGTTAGTCTCCCGCTTCTGCCTTTGCGGAAAAACACCACAGTCACCTCACGAACAGACACGGGGGAGGGGCAGGGGCAGGGGGCAGGGGGCTAGGGAATCTGCATTTCGGGGGGGGGGGGGGATTCTAAGGGGTCTAATGGCCGAGTCAAAGCGCACAGTAAGGGGTCGAGGGGAACACCTTGCTAGGGGCTACACCAAGGCTCGGTCAGACACTCGCGCCCTCTCGCTCGCTCGGGACTAAGCTTCCCTCTCACCGACATGCAGTTTCCTCCGGCCGGGGAGGAGGTCGTGGCCACCGCCAGCATTTTGGTTAATTCTTTTTCTTTATTATCATTATTATCCTCATTACTATAACATCATTATTGTTGTTATTATTATTATTATTATTATTATTATTATTATTATTATTATATTATTAATAATAATATATATTATTGTTATTATTATTATTATTATTATATATCATTATTTATTATTATTATTATTAATATTATTATTATTATTAAATTATTATTATATTATATTATTATTTTTTAATTATCATGACCATTATCTTGAAATTATAAATTATTATTGCTACAGCAACAACTACTACTACTATCTATATTAATATTGCTACTTCTGTTTATCATTATTATTTATTATTATTATCATCATCATTATAATTACTTTTACTATTGTTATTATCATTATCATCACTATTACTATTCCTACTATAATCACTGTTACTATTACTATTATCATTACCATAATTACTATTATTACGATCATTATTATCATGATCATTATAAATATCACTATCACTACTACTATAACTATTACTATTATCATCACTGTTTACACCATTACTTTAATCATCATAATCATTAATATCACCATTACCATAACTACTACTATCACCATCATCAACTACCATTATCCTCATCATTATTACTATTATTTCTATTTCTCTTATTTCGCGTGTTTGGCTTATCGTCTCTCGCCTTTTCTACTCCTGCATAATGGAGGTTAACCTATATGCAACTTGATAAATGTTGCAAAGCCATGAGGTCCGGAGAAATACATTATGTTGGTGTGGCTGTGTGTTGCACTATGTTGGTATTGGAGAGATAAAAGTGTAAGAAAGAAGGGAGGAGGATTAAGAAGAAAGGAGGATTAAGAGAAGGGTAGAAAGGGGGGGAGAAGAGAAAATAAGAGGTAGGTGGAGAGAAGTTAGAGGGAGGAATTGCGAGAGGAAGGAATAAGGATAGACTAGAAGAGGAAAGAAGAAAAATAGAGAGAGGAGAGAGAGAGAGAGAGAGAGAGAGAGAGAGAGAGAGAGAGAGAGAGAGAGAGAGAGAGAGAGAGAGAGAGAGAGAGAGAGAGAAGAAGAAAGAAAGAAAGAAAGAAGAAAGAAAGAAAGAAGAAAAGAAAGAAAGAAAGAAGAAAAAGAAAGAGAGAAACAGAGAGACAGACAGCAGACAGACAAGACAGACACAGACAAGACAAAGATAAAAAAAAAAAAGACAAGACAGAAAAAACAAAACAAAATAAAAAGTAGGAAGAAGAAACAAAGAAAACAAAATGAAAAATGCAATCTGTATCGAATGAAAAAGGAAATGTTTGATTCGCCGACAACCGTTAATTTCAGACAAGCCCGAGTGTTCGCCGAAATAGAATTTGAAATCCAGCGGCCGTTGGAATATCGGCATCAAAAGGATCATGCGACTGTGCATGAACGAGGCTCTATGTTTATATACATGTAAATATGCATGGCTGTATATAAACACGTGCATTCCATATCAAAATCAAATAATTGTTTTTGAAATGTGTTATTTTTCTGCCTCGTTTTGTTATGATGCAATTTTGTTATGCTCATTGTGCAATAAGTTTCAATAATGGAATATTAATTAATAGGAATTAATATCAATAACGGCAGAGCAAGTTTGCTTATAGATAAATACATCAAGATAAACTTATTATCATAAAACTAGGTTCTCAGAGAGGCTGAATAGTTAGAAATTAGTGCAGGGATCATATCGATAAAAATATACAATAGCTTTCTGTGTGTGTGTTTCTATTTGTGCTCATGTGTGCACTATACGTGTGTCTGGGAATCAAACTACAATTATGAATGACACTGTAAAAGATACACAGACATATAAAACCGAAACATCAACATGATTTGCACCATTAAGCACGATTTGTCCCAGATTTGGAACAAGGAAACTGTGCACATAGACCAGTTCAGTTCTCCAGCTGAACAATGTGCGTCGAACAGCCTCCCCCCTTTTGTACTTAGTGTCTTTCTGAACACTTCTTTCCTAACTACCTTAACAAATATTTTTTTTCCGCGTTAAGATATTCTCAACCACTAACAACTTAATATTGTCATACATGGACAAAATAAGAAATCAAATGAAAGTCAAAATAACTCTTAAAAATCTCTAATTAAATAAAGAGGCGTATGAACACTTCTCTACGTGGATAATAATGACTGAAAAGAACAAACAACAAAATTTAAACAAGAAAATAAACAAATAAACTAAAACAAAAATAAACAAGAAATAAATAATAATAATAATAATAACAACAAAGGAGCAAGAATATTTATACGAATAAACAAAAAAAACGCCAATTAAATTTACGCAAAAAATGAACACGCAGGTACAACAAAGGTAACAAAATATACATACATTAATATCAATTACATTACGCGGAAAATACCGATATCATACTAGCTACGGCTCTTACAATAGACACAGAGGGGGCACCTCGATAGAACTCACCTACTAATTATCCTTAACCTATTAATTACGGCTACCTGATCACTCATACAGTTAATTACCTCTTTATCTTATCTACTTCATTTCGGAATCATCTATGTGATTAGTTCACCATGACATTTAACTAGACATTGCATGCAACATACACTGGGAAGCTTTATCTGGCCGAGTGCATGAAGAACAGAGAAGAGAGGAAGAGGGGAAGAAAAGAAGAGAAAGGAGAGGAGAGAGGGGGGAAAGAAGACAGATCGATAAGAGATAATGGTAGATAGATCGATAGAGGGAGATATATTCATAAAAAAAAAATAGGTTACTTTATATATATATATATATATATATAATATATAATATATATATATATATATATATATATATATATATATATATATATATATATATATATATAGAGAGAGAGAGAGAGAGAGAGAGAGAGAGAGAGAGAGAGAGAGAGAAATATGAGTGAAAAAGGTCAAAGAGACAAAGAGATAGACAGAGAGAAATCGACAGACAGAGAAAAAGAAGAATATGAAAGAGCAGAGACAGAACAGAGAAGTGACAGAAAAAAAGACGAGATTAGAAGTCGAAAGAAGAAACACAGAGAAACCGAAAAGAGAATCTGTAGCGAAAAAGGACACAGAGACAGCTGAGACACAACTAGGTCACGGAAAAAATAAAGACAGACAGTTAAGAGACAAACAGACAGACAGACAGACTCGGTAGAACGCACAATAAACACAAACCACCATTAGTCCGAAACCAGCAAAATAATTCTGCCATTTTTTTTTTTTGCATGTGATGGAGATGTGTATTAATGCAAGAATGTGTTTATGCATACGTAATATGAATAAATAAAGCAATAAATAAAATATGTATATCGATACATAAATACAGATACCATATACTATGAATACACACGCACTCACATATATGTGTATATATATATATATATATATATATATATATATATATATATATATATATATATGCACTGCATGTATATAGCTCTATCTGCATTGGGAACATGAAAATGCCTCTCTGTAGAGAATACTGCATCTTCAACAAGGAATTTATCGGGGGAAAGTCTACGGACTAAACACACCCAACTTCAGTTTGATCTGAACCTTGAGATCCCAACCCTTTGCCACAGTCCCTACCTCTAGCCCAGTCATAGGAAGCATGGGGAAGGGGGAAGGGAGGGAAAGGAGGAGGGGGGGAGGAATTGAAATAGAGAGAAATGGGAGGGAGGGAGGGAGGGAAGGTGGAGGGAGAGGGAGGGAGGGAGGGAGGGAGGGAGAGAGGAAGAGAGAGAGGAGAGAAGAGAGAGGGAGAGAGAGAGGGAGGAGAGAGAGAGGGAGAGAGGAGAGAGGAGAGAGAGAGAGAGGGAGAGAGAGAGAGAGAGAGAGAGAGAGAGAGAGAGAGAGAGAGAGAGGAGAGAGAGAGAGAAGAGAGAGAGAGAGAGAGAGAGAGAAGAGAGAGGTAGAGTAGAATAGAGCTGGTAATGGGGACAGGAAGGGAAAGAGAAAGTAAAAAGGCAAAGTGAGAAGGAGATAAAGAGGCAGAGACACAGAGAGAGAAAGATGCAAATTGCTTCCAAGAGAAAGATATACATACATACATGTATACAGATAGATAGGCATGTCGAAATATAAAATAAAAGAATGATAGATAAGTCGATAGATATATATATAAACAGACATATAAGTAAACAGACAAAACGATAGAATATATATGTAGGCAGATAAACAAAACGATGAAAGTGAATTGATAAACAGACAGACGGACAGATAGAGAGAGAAAGAGAAAGAAAGTGAGAGAGAAAGAGATAGATAGATAGATAGATAGAGAAGAGAGAGAGAGAGAGAGAGAGAGAGAGAGAGAGAGAGAGAGAGAGAGAGAGAGAGAGAGAGAGAGAGAGAGAGAGAGAGAGAGAGAGAGAGAGAGAGAGAGAAAAGGGAAAGAGAAGGAAAAAATCGAAAAAAGCGAAGAGAGAAGGAGAAGTGAGCAAGAAAGAGACACAGTTACAGACAGAGAAACAGACAGACAGACAAAAGACAAAGAAAGTGAGTCAGGGAGTCCTTGTCTACCAGTGAGTGTCTTTAGTCCTTCGTCCCTACCATACCTATCACTCCCTCATCGCTTTATCCTAATTCTTCCTTACACTGTCCCTTACCTTTCCTGGAGATTGTAAACTGCCCGCTACTGATTCGACACTGACGTTGT